GGGGTGGAGTCCTGGGGGGCAGTTAGGGGCAGGGGTCCCAGGAGGGGGCAGTCAGGGGACAAGGAACGGGGGGAGGGTTGGGGGTTCTGGGGGGGCGAGAAGTGGGAGGGGCAGGGGCGGGGCTAGGGCGGGGCTCCTCCCGTCCTCTTTTTTGCTTGCTGAAATATGGTAACCCTAGTCTCTGTTCCATGTTCCCCCAGCACCAGCCGCTCTCCTCGACTGTGCAGCGGCCTGGGCAGGAGCCCTCTGGCGCGGCGAGGGGCTCAGAGCTGAGTCCCCTCATTTCCCTCCTGGGGGAGCAGCCCCCTTGCCCACCCGGTGCCGGAGCTGACTCACCAGCTCCAGGAAGCGCCACCCTCCCTCCCAGGCTTGCGCCGCCATGCTGCAAGTCTGGGAGGGAGGAGGAATTCCGCGTGGATGGGGAAGAGGTGGGGCCAGGGCGGGGATTTGGGGAGGGAGCCAATGGGGGAAGGAGGGGGCGGAGCCGGGGCGCGGCGGGGGGCGAGAGTCCCTCCAGGATGGCAAAATTGCTTGTTTGTCCAGTGTCCCGACCGCACATCGGTCGGGACGCGGGACAAACAAGCCAATATCGGGACAGTCCTGATAAAATCGGGACGTCTGGTCACCCTACACGCGGCTTGGAATTTATACTCCACGTAGAATCGTGCGCTCGCGTTGCTACATGGGCACGTCTGTCAAGTTCACCTTCCGCTTGCAGCAGAGGTGGGGGTGGGCCCTAGCTCACTCCACGGGCTGGGACTGGTCCCCTGAAGACCTTCTGCTCCCGAACAGCTGAGCTGGGCGTAGGGTAACCAGATGTCCCGATTTTATAGGGACAGTCCCGATATTTGGGTCTTTTTCTTATATAGGCTCCTGTTACCCCCCACCCCCGTCCTGATTTTTCACATTTGCTGTCTGGTCACCCTAGCTGGGAGAGGCCCAATGGGTCAGAGGAGCGGAGCTGTCCATCAGTCACCTCCCGGAGGTTTAGATCCCTGGAGCCAGGCTCTGGGGCTCAGGTCCGGGTCCTGGACTCTGTTCCCCATGCGCAGGACAGGAACGATGCGCTCGCAGCAGCTGCTGAGTGGATGCGGCAGCGTTCGGCACCGGCTGGAGTTTCCCAAGGGCTGACGGCTCCATGCCCGGGCCTATGGCATTGCTGTAGCCAGACGGGTAAACTGAGGCTGGGTCACTGTCCACCGGGTGGGGTGGAGCTGCTTTGTGGGAGCTCAGCAGGAGACCACCGGCTGAATTGACCAGTCGTTGGTGTGAACCTTCCCCCAAAGGAGGCTGCACCATGATGAACAACACCTCAAAATCCTTCCCTCTGCCCTCCAGCATCGCCTCTGCCCAGTGGCAGATTAACGGATGGGGCCCAGGGGCCCTGGCAAATTTGAGGGCCCCAGGAGTGCCGGAACCCGCGTAGAAGTGTGGATGGGGGCAACTGTGGCCCCGCCCCCTGCTCCTCCTCTTCCCCCCCAGGCCCTGCCACCAGGCCGAAAGCCGGAGCCGGCCATGGTATGAGCCACCCAGGAAGCCACACACCCACTGCCTGCCCTGGGGGTGGGGACATGGGCCGGGGGCTGCTCTTTGGACCCCCCGTCCAGTGCAGATGGAGGGTCCGGGGCTCCCCACAGCAGCCCAGGCTCCCTAGGTGTCTTTTTACAGGGGTGCCATTTAGGAGGTGCGGAGGAGGGCACCTGTTTCCTACCGCAGAGGAGTGCAAACAGGAAAGTGAGCTGCTCCTCCGTGCTCTGGCTGCGAGAGAAACCCTCAGCCCTTAACCGGGCTCTGAGTCAGAAGTTGTAGTTGGCTGCCTGTCCCGGAGGAGCTGGACCAGCTGTTTCCCCCCAGCCCCTCCACTCCAGGCTGTGGGAAATGTATATTCCCCGGCTGCTCCGTGCCAGGAGCGGGGAGCTGTCTGTCCGTCCCCACCCCTGCGCAGAGGTTCCCAAATCCCCCCTCCGACCGGGCGACTGTGGGCTCATTAGCACCCCGTTGCCAGCAGCAGCGCTAGCCCGGCACCAGAAGGTCACTCGAAGCACTTTAAATAGCTCCTCGTGGCCAGGCTGGTGGGATGAGAGCCAGGAGAGAGCTGTTGAGTGCTGATCTCCTTAAGTCTCTCCCACAAAGCTGGTCTGTTTTATGTTCAGTGTCACAGCCTTATCCCTTTCACGTCCCTTACCCATTTCAGTACCTCCTGCTGGAAATCAGAGGAAGTTATTGGCCAGAGAGTAGCTAGCACCTCAGAGGTACAAACACCTTGGGATTGGAGGCTGTTCGTAACGCTGACATGTTCATAACCCTGCACAAAAAGTGACGGCTGTTCTTTCAAACGGAAAACAAAAACGTGTTCTTTCTGGAATTAGTCTATGGACCCCTGGGACTGTTTTTGGTTTCCTGTTACAGTTCCTGGAGGGTTCTTAATCCTCCCAGGTTGTTACAGCCTGGGAACAGGTCTGTTTACTGACTTCCTTAATATTTGAGCGTGCCCTTGAAATGACATTGCTTAGAGGGGAAATTTTCTTAAAAACCTTTAAGACGTATTGTGTCCTATTACATTTTCATTAAGGCACAGTTAAGAATCGTCACGGTAGATGCATACTCAGGATTGCTATATTACGTTCTACAGCTGAACATTTTCCAAGGGCTAAAACAGGCTTTGAGATCAGTCTTTTGTAAATGCAAGTTCAATTTTTTAAATTCATTTTTATGTTTTGAGTCTCCACATCTTTAGTACCTTGAACTGGAGGGTGGTTTCATTGGTGCTGGAGATACATCAAATGTATTGTGTAAGTGTTATGCCTACAGGCCTCAGTCATCAGCAGGCAGGATCAAACCGGGAGCTTAGTCCATGAGTCTCTACCACATGAGCTAAAAGCCAACTGGCTGTTAGTTAAGGAGGTACAGCAGACTCATTAATTGCTCTCTAAGTGGTCTCAGTGCCACTAGATGGAACACAGCACCACACCCAGAATGCCTGTCGCCGCCGAAATCCCGCCGAGAAGCAGCGTCATCCAGCGAGGGCTGGTGCTGAAAACCGGCGGCATTTTGGCGGCAACGCCTCTGGATGACGCTGCTTCTCGGCGGCATTTCGGCAGATGCTCGTCCGCCGGCCAGTACGCGGGCGCACTTAGACGCCCCGGCGGGCGCCATGGCATTGGGGACCCCTGCTCTACTGCATGAGCTGAAAGCCAACCGACTGTTAGCTAAGGCAGGGCTGGCGCACCCACGGGGAAAAATTGGTGGGTACAGCCAAGCTCCCCGCCCTGCCCCCACTCACCTCCTCCCCTGAGCATGCCGCGTTCCCGCTTCTCCTCTCAGCGCTTGCCGCCGCAAGACAGCTGTTTCGCGGCGTAACAAGCTGTTGGAGGAAGGGGGGAGGAGCGGGAACCTGCAGCACTCAGGGGAGGAGGCGAGGCCGGGGCTGGGGATTTGGGGAAGGAGTCCAATCAGGGCAGGGAGGGGGCGGAGTTGGGGTGGGGACTTTGGGGAAGAGGTTGGAATGGGGGCAGGGGCGGGGCAGAGGTGGAGTCGGGGCGGGGCCGGGGGGGGATCGAGCACCCACCGGCGCCAGGAGAAGTTGGCGCCTATGAGCTAAGGTTGTAGAGCAGACTCATTTAACTCTCTCTTTGAGTGGTCTCGGTGCCACTAGATGGGACACAACACCACACCCAGAAGGTGAGTGGGTTACACAAACAGATTATAATGTTTAAGGCTTTATTTCTAATTACTGAGTAACTTAATAGGAAAAGAAAACACATTGCCACTGGAAAAAGGGATAGCGTTTTTATATACTGGAAATAGACAATTCAAGTGTGATTGGAAACCCATGCTGGCCAATCTACTGTCATATTTTCTTTCCAATGATCACTTTAAAGGCTTTTTGTCTTTCCTTTTTTTAAACTACTGCCAAAACAAATTTGTTCTCTAATTTGTTCCGTTATTCCGTGCTTTAGAACAGGGGTGGACAAACTTTTTGGCCTGAGGGCCACATCTGGTTATGGAAATTGTATGGCAGGGCATGAATGCTCATGAAATTAGGGGTTGGGGTGTGGGAGGGGGTGAGGGTTCCGGCTGGGGGGTGCGGGCTCTGGGGGGGGGGGCAGAAATGAGGAGTTCAGGGTGCAGGAGGGGGTTCCGGGCTGGGGGCAAGGGGGTTGGGGTGTATGGGGGGGGTGAGGGCTCTGGCTGGGGGTGCAGGCTCTGGGGTGGGACCTGGGATGAGGGGTTTGGGGGGGGAGGGTGCTCCAGGCTGGGACTGAGGGGTTTAGAGGGCAGGAGGGAGATCAGGGCTGGGGCAGGGGATTGGGGCCAGGGAGAGGGAGAGGGGTGCAGGCTCCGGATGGCACTTACCTCAAGCAGCTCCCAGAAGCAGCGGCATATCCCCCCCTCCCGCTCCTACGTGGAGATGCAGCCAGGCGGCTCTGCGCGCTGTCCTGTCCGCAGGCGCCACCCCTGCAGCTCCCATTGCCCGCGGTTCCTGGCCAATGGGAGCTGCGGGGGCGGAGCTTGGGGCAGGGGCAGTGTGCGGAGCCCCCTGGCTGCCCCATGTGTAGGAGCCAGAGGGGGGACATGCCACTGCTTCCAGGAGCGGTGCTGGAGCGCTGGAGTGGAGCAAGCCCTGGACCCCACTCCCCGGCTGGAGCGCCGGAGCGGGGAAATCCCCTGGAGCTCGAGGGCCGGATTAAAACATCTGGAGGGCTGGATGCAGCCCCCAGAACATAGTTTGCCTATCCCTGCTTTAGAAGAACGTTTGAGGGGAAACTCAACTACTTCCAACTTCATAACTGTTTAACGAGAAAAGAGATATACAAACTGAGTGCATATGTTTGCTTGCTTATAATTTTCCAGAAGGGAATAAAAAAGGTATGTCTGTGGGTGTTTGAGGGTGACTGATGGGACGCTGTAAGAACAGTGATGTCGTGCCAAAATCCTGCATGAATTTTATTTACAGGTTATTAGTTCTTGTATTAAAGCTCCAAAATTGACATAGGAAAGTAAATGCAAAGTCATGCACATTGGAAAACATAATCGCAACTGTACATACAAAATGATGGGGTTTAAATGAGCTGTTACCACTCAAGGAAGAGATCTTGGGGTCATCGTGGAGAGTTCTCTGAAAACGTCCACTCAGTGTGCAGCGGCAGTCAAAAAACCGAACAGACTGTTAAGAACCGTTAGGAAGGGGATAGAGAAGATAGTAAATATCATAATGCCTCTGTATAAATTCATGGTACGCCCACATCTTGATTAGTGTGTGCAGATCTGGTCGCCCCATCTCAAAAAAGATATATTGGAACTGGAAAAGGTACAGAGAAGAGCAAGAAAAATGGTTAGGGGTGCGGAACGGCTGCCGTATGAGAAGAGATGAATAAGACGGGGACTTTTCAGCTTAGAAGTGAAAAAGGAAGTGTTATTTACTCTTTCTCATAACACAAGGACTAGAGGTCACCCTGTAAGGTCTGCAGTAGGACAGCAGAAACCATGAGCTAAGAAGCAGAGAATCATGTCCTCACATTCCATCTAAATTGCAGCAAAACAATGTAATATTGGCCTTATAAGAATCATAGAACCATAGAAGGATTAGGGTTGGAAGAGACCTCAGGAGGTCATCTTGTCCAACCCATCTAGTCCAACCCCCTGCTCAAACCAGGACCAACCCCAAGTAAATCATCCCAGCCAGGGCTTTGTCAAGCTGGGCCTTAAAAACCTCTAAGGATGGAGATTCCACCACCTCCCTAGGGAACCCATTCCAGTGCTTCACCACCCTCCTAGTGAAATAGTGTTTCCTGATATCCAACCTAGACCTCCCCCACTGCAACTTGAGACCATTGCTCCTTGTTCTGTTATCTGCCACCACTGAGAACAGCTGAGCTCCATCCTCTTTGGAACCCCCCTTCGGGTAGTTGAAGGCTGCTATCAAATCCCCCCTCACTCTTCTCTTCTGTAGACTAAACAAGCCCAGTTCTCTCAGCCTCTCCTCGTAAGTCCAGCCCCCGATCATCTGATCAAGAAGGCGATCCTTCCCAATAGTACTCACCGTCATCAGATAAGGAAACAGATCTTAAGATGTTTAGAGAAAACTTTGACAGCATTCTGTCTGGCAAGAAACCACTGATCAATGGCTGTGGGTATGAAATCTCTACTTCATTATTGTTTTGTTGTGTATCTGTTTGGTTTCTGTCTGGTTCTTTGATTGTTTCTGTCTGGTGCATAACTAATTTTGCAAGATTTAAATCAACTGAGGTGGTGGGGTCTGACTGGTTAAAGAATTGTTTTGTAATGGGCTGTGATGGGTGAAAAATACTGATTTGTAGCACATTAGTGTCAAATGATTGGTTACGGTTTAGCTAAGCAGGAGGCAAGTTTTACATGTATAAACTGGGGTCCAAAGAGAAGTTATTTGAAACCTAAATCCAGGGCACAGCCAAGATCAGAGCTGCCAGACCTCAACATCCTACTGATCATACCATGCAGAAGCTGGAGCCCCGGAAGATCTAATCTTGACTGGCCACTAAAAAAAGTTGGCTCCCTTGGTTCCAGTGCCCCTGGGGTGTGGGGGGACCCAAATTTTCTTTGTGCCCAAGGCCCCAGTAAATCTTAATTTGCCTCTGCCTTGCTTGGAGTCAGCTTTGCCCAGCTGCCCTTCATCCCGGAGCTGATCTTGGCCAAGTCGTCTTGGTGGCAGCGGTGTGATCATAGGTGCTAAGAGAACGGTGCATTGGCTGCATGTTGCTGGCCCTTCCACCGGTGTCGTCTGACCGGTTCCCCAAGTGATGGCATGTAGATGCTGAATAGGACTTGGGTCTCCACAAGCAAGGGGTCTAGATGTGGCTTCCCGTCGCTGCTCGTTGGCTGCGTCCCTTCAGGAAGGAGTCAAGCCACGTTAGCACATTCCGCTGGAGCCCTGCCCCCTCTCCCAGGTGAAATAGCAGGATCCCGTGGTCAAATGCTGTGGAGAGGTCCAGGAGAATGAGGATGGAAGCCTGCCCTCTGTCTATTGACCGCAGAAAATCAGTCCCCAGTGCCGCTCTGGGTGTGTCAGTTCCATGCCCTGGCCTGAATCCAGATTGAGCTGAGTCCAGCCTACTGGCTTTAGGTACATGATTTAATGGCTGGGGGGTAGCGGCCAGCCCCAGAGTGTCAGGACTAGTTTCTGAGCTGAGTCAGGAAACGGATACTAAGGCCAGAGTCGAAGGCAGGGGTCAGGGGTGAGACAGGCCAGAAAGCGAGATCTGTAGCAAGCTGGAGTCTGCGTTGTTGCTCAGACGGTCCCCTGGGGCAACCTCCCGGATCTCACCCTCCAATAACAGTCGGATGGTGCCTGGCTGGCTCCCCAGTGGTGACGTGGAGGTGTTAGTCACCCAGCCCCCACTGCCGCCCCTGGTTCTAGACCCCTGGTTCTAGACCCCTGGTTCCTCATAGAGGAGTTTGAAGTAAGCTGGATGGGGGGGGGGGGCTGACACTGAATCGGGGGTTAGCTAGGTCTGATGGCTCCCGGGGGCTTTCTTCAATGTCAGATCATTGTGGGTGGGAAGGTGTGAATTCCCATGCCTGACAAGCCCAACACCTCTGGGGGCATGGCGGGGGCTAAAAAGGGGGTAGGACTGGCCCCCTGAGAACCTGCCCCCATGCATGGGGTCTCCCTTGGCATACAACGGCATTTGGTGGGACAGCCCCTGGACTTTTGCACAAGGAAAGCTACTGAGAATTGTAGAGTTTAAGGCCAGGAGGGGCCATGAGGCTGTCCAGGCAAGGGTCTCCCAGCAAGGCATCGGGGATGGGTTTGGAGACACCAAGAGATGGGGAACCCAGCACTTCCCTGGGCGGTTTGTTCTAATGGCTAATCACCCGCACTGGTAAAAATCCAGGCCTTGTTTCCGACTGGAAAATGTTGGGTGTCAGCTTCCAGTTCTCGTTTGGCCTGTCTCTACTACGCTAAAGAGCCCTGGGATTTCCTCCCCACGTAGGTACTTAGACACAAGAACCCCCATCTTCTTTGTGATCAGTGACACGGATCTCCCCGTCAGGCAATTTCTCCAGCCTTGAACCACTTTTGTGACTTTTCATAGAATCATAGAATCTCAGGGTTGGAAGGGACCTCAGGAGGTCATCTAGTCCAACCCGCTGCTCAAAGCAGGACCAAACCCCAGACAGATTTTTGCCCCAGATCCCTAAATGGCCCCCTCAAGGATTGAACTCACAAGGCTGGGTTTAGCAGGCCAATGCTCAAACCACTGAACTATCCCTCCCCCTTTTGGTCAGCCACACCCACGACAAATCTTCCACATCCTTTTTAAAACCCGGCATCGGCACCGGGCTCGGCAAGCGGGAAAACCATCTCCCTGCACCTGCTTTCTACTCCCCGGAGAAACACCCAAGGATTGCATTCGCCCTTTCTCTCCCTGCATCGCACTGGGAGCTCGTCTTCCGTTGTTTCTCCACTGTGAGCCTGTAGAGGAGCCGGCCGGGGCTCAACCCTCTCCGGGGCGGTGTGGAGACACACCGGCTCACTGCACACTGCTGGGGTTTGGGGAATTAGTCCGGCCGCGGGAGTCTTTCCTGGCAGTCCTGGAGGAGGCAGAAATAAGTACAGTTATGCCAGGGCTCTAGGTCAGGGCAGGACACAATGACTCAGGCCCTCAGGCAGGGGCTGAGCAATATTGCTATAGCAGTAGCAACCTAAACAGGAATAAGCCCCCGCCCGAGGTCAGGGCGGGGCAATAAGAAGTCAGGAACTCAGGCCCTCAGTCAGGGCTGAGCAATAACAGTAGACCCACGCCTCTAAAAGGCCTGGGAGAGGGGGAGACGGCCACCCACGTGTTGGGTGGCAGGGGGGACGCAGGCCCACCCACTGCTCCCAGCCCGGGGCCCTAGCAGCGGCAGAACACTTAGTCAGTGGGGATCCTAGCCACACTGATGTGGGCTCTGGCCGTGCTGCAGCCAGACTAGGGTCGGCTGCCCCCCGGGCTACTTCCAGTCTCCCCCTCGTGTGGTACCTGAGTCACAGGGGTGTCCTCCGGAGGGGTCCAGCACCGTGGGTTCCTCGGGGTAGTGGTCGAGCGGCAGGTCCAGCAACTCCTCCGGGTCGCGGGCGCAGGACAAGTCGGGCCAGTCCTGGTGGCTACCTTGGGCCGTGGGGGTTTCCCAGTCGTGGGCCAGGCTGGAGGCGGCTGGCCTCCCCGGGGCTGGCCCTCTGAGGGGCAGGCTTGACCCTCTCCAGGGCGGCGGGAAGCCACACCGCCTCACTACAGAGCCCTAAAACCCTTCCCGAGTCCCTGCTTCCCAGGGTACAGCCCTCCATTCTGTAGGCATGGACGACATTCTTTGCTCTTAGGCATATGACCTTGCATTTGGCCCTACTAAAACGCCTTTGGTTTGAAGGGGCCCGGCTGAGCAAGCGATCCGGATCACTCTGTATGTCTGCCCCTGTCCTCATCAGTATTCATCACTCTGCCAGGCTTTGTGCCAGCTGCCAATTTTATATTTATTGCCAGATCGGTGATAAAAATACTGAGACGCGTGAGGCCTAGAAACAACCCATGAGGAGTGTGACGGGTTGGACCCTTGGGAAGCCACCTGAAGTGCGAAGATATCACTGAGTCTACCTGTGCTGCCAGCCTGGGCCCCCTTTAACCTGTCTTGCTGAGCCAGGCCCTGAAAACCTCCCCTAACACACACAGGCAGGGCCACACCCAGCTACAGATCAGCTCTGGGAAGACTCCGCTTAAGGGACTTGCTCCAGCCCTCGGATGTCCACCTCCCTTGGAGTGCAGACCCAAAGGTATAGTATGAAATTCGCCCCCTCCCTCAGCGTGGAGCGTGCACGCTTCTTACCCTCCCCCGTTAGACATGACAGAAACGGGGTGGACACCCGCTCCTGCCCTGAAAGGCTTGAAATCAGCCCTGAAAGAGGGCGGCAGTGGTGAAAGGTGGGCTGGTTGGGGAAGTGGCCGCAGCTGGGCCACACCCCATCAGGCCACAGCTGGCCTGTATAAAAAGGCTGGGAGCCAGGCACTCAGTAGCCTCTCTCTGTGTTCAGAGAGAGAAGGGCCTGGCTGCAGGGAGCGTAACCAGGTATCTGGAGTGGAGCAGAGTTGGGGAAAGGCTAAGGGAGCTCCGGCCTAGGAAAGCTCCAGGCTGCAGGTCTAGGGTAAGGCCAAAGGGGCACTTGGATTGCAGGGGGCAGCCCACGGGTAGGCAGAGGCAGCAAGGCCAAACCCCTTTGCCTGTGATGAATGGCTGATACTGCAGTCTGCCCCTAGTGAACGGGGGCTAGATGGAGACTGGGCAGTAGCCAAGACTGAGGCAAAGTGGGGATAGTGGATGGAGGTTCCCCTGGGAGGGGGAGACCCAGAGCTGTGAGGGGTTATTGCCAGAGAGCAACACCCCAGACAACAGGGGTCTGGGAGGGACATGGGGGGCCAAGTGGTAGCGGGACACTGGCCTGCAGAGGGTGCTCCAATGGCTGGAGAGCTAATTCCTGGAGATGACCAGCAGGTGAGCCCCGCATTGTCAGACTGGGTTTAATAATAAACCAAAAAAATGTATTCACTATAAAAGGCAGATTTTAAGTGGTCGAAGGGGTAACAAACAGAATAAAGCAGATTACTAAACAAATGAAATCAAACACGCAAACTAAGCTGGTTTCACTCAAGAAGTTGCTTACAAATTTTATTTCTCACCCTAGATATTGCTGTAGGCAGTTTGCCAAGCTTCTGTGGTTCAGAGTTCCAGTTATATTCCTTTTCAGACTGGCCCCGTCTCAGTCTGGACTCCCCCCTGGCTTTCCCTTTTGCAGTCTTTCTTCTTGGGCAGACAGGCCAGGGAGAGGAGGAATCCAGTTTGCCTTCCTCCCCACCCTTAAATAGGATTTACATAAGGCGGGAATCCTTTGTTTCCCAAACTTGACGGCCCCCACCCCTTCCCTTACAGTGGAAAGTTACAAGAAGTCCCTGCTAATGTTTTAGTATCGGGTGACAAGACCACCTGCCCCTGTAGTATCAGAGTCCATGAGGCAGTGGTAGTGTGGAGAGTCTGCAGGAAGGCCAAGCTTGTCACAGTCCATTGTCCTCGCTGATGGGCCATCCGCCCTGCCTGGCTTTTCCATTGCTGTACCTGAAGTGTGAGCAGTGGGCGTCACCCGAAGTAGCGTAGTTGAAATACAGATACAGTCAGTATTCCTCACTTCAGATACAGAAATGATACAGGCATACAAACTGGATCATCGCATTCGGTAAATCATAACCTTTCCAAGGAGATCTCACATGAGCCATCTGGCATAAAGTACATCTCAGTTAGGTCCTATTCATATCATAAGCATATTGTCATAAAAAATATGGAATGATATGGCAGTCAGGCCTAGGAACAACCCATGAGGAGCCCCCTGGAAACACCCCCATTCAGTGACAGATTCCCCACTGAGATCTGTCAGCTAGTCCGTTCTTGATTTATTTAACGTGCACTTTACTGATGTTGTATGGAGCTGCTTTTTTAATCAGAATGTCATGCAGTTACCAAGTCAAACGCCTTACAAAAGTCTAAGTCTATTACCCCCACACAGTTAACTTTATCAAGTAATTTGTAATCTCCTCAAAGAATTAAATCAGGGTTGTTTGACAAGACCTATTTGCCCTGTGTGACGAAGTGGGGGATTTTCTTGTTTTCGGTGGGGTTTCAATGGTTTGCACGCGGAGGGGGTTTCCCTGGGTGTTACTGGTTTAACGAGGGGAGGGGAGAGGGAGTTTGTTGTTACAGAGGACCGGAGAGGGAACGTGGGACCCCAGCCAGTGGCCTGGAGGATGGACACCCCAGCGACTGGACCCGGAGACCCAGCTCAGGAATCACAGACGGTTCTGGCCAGAGGGAGGACAATGGCCTGCAGAGTGAGGAGCCAGTGACCTAACCAGCCAGTTTCAGCCAGAGGACAGAAGAGGGGAGAGGAGGCCCCAGTTTACAACCCTGTTTACCTGGAGAGAAGACAAAGGACAAAGGCGGGGCTTGGGGCCGGTGATCTCAGATGCCCAGCTGGGAAGCAGGGGGGCTCGGGGCTGGAGAGGGGGAGCAGGCAGAGCCCACCTGGATGCAGAGAGACTGGGATGTGCTGGGCTGAAGGAGGCCAGGCCTGAGGCCCTGAGAGTTTCCTATGCTGTGTTCAACTCTCAATAAATCCTCCTGTTTTATGCTGGCTGAGAGTCACTCCGGTCTAAAGAACAGGGTTGCATCAACCCCTTCGGGGGGTGGAGCCCCCGGGGGTCCAGAGCGAGTGGACTCCCTGAGGGGGCCCACGGCAGAGACAGATGTGCTAAGGCTCAGAGAGGTGCGGCTCCAAGAGGTGGAGGGGCCTGACCCCGAGATAGAGTGGACCCCTGAGAAGGGCTGTCGCACTGAAAGGGGCACCCCCCACGGACCGCACGGGGCCAAGAGTGGGCACGATCTGTGAGTCCGTGACACCATGCGACCATGTTGAGTGGCATTAATTATATTACTGTCCTTTAATTCTTTATTGATTGAATCCCGTATCAGCTTTTCCACTTCTTTGTCCAGGATCGATTTCAGGTTAACTGGTCGATCTTTATCCCAGGTCATTTTGCTTGTCCTTTCTGAATAATGGCACATCACCAGCAGTCTTCCAGTCTTCTCAAATTTCCCCAGTATTTCAAGATTTATTCAAAATTAATATCAGCAGGCCAGAGATCTCCTCGGCCAACTCTTTTAGAACTCTTGGGTTAAAATTGGGTGAAACTGATTAAGCTTCATCTTCAAATTAGTTAGGGTATCCCCCCACTGATAGCTAGAAACCTTCTTATTTCCAGCACCAGCTGATCCCTGGCCAGTTATCCCCATTTGTTCTTGTGCCACCATTGTCCTTTAGTGTCAATTTCTTCTCCCTCCCTGGTGTTGCAGTGTTGTTAATGCTGCCATGCCCACGTAGTGATGAACCTGTCCCAGTGCTACAATTTCTTTTGTTCCTTAGGGTAGGTCTATACTTACCTCTGGGTCCGGCGGTAAGCAATCGATCTTCTGGGATTGATTTATCGTGTCTTGTCTAGACGCGATAAATTGATCCCAGATCGATCCCAGAAGTGCTCGCCGTTGACGCCGGTACTCCTGCTCGGTGAGAGGAGTACGCGGCATCGACGGGGGAGCCTGCCTGCTGCGTGTGGACCCGCGGTAAGTTCGAACTAAGGTACTTCGACTTCAGCTACGTTATTCACGTAGCTGAAGTTGCGTATCTTAGTTCGAAGTGGGGGGTTAGTGTGGACCAGGCCTTAGACAGTTCAAAAGGGGGTAAGTGCAGCCGGGTGGGAGAGGGGTTTTCACAGGGTGCCTGGGGGGAAAGGAGAGGTACGTGAAGAGAGTGGGTCAGGATGGTTAAATTGGGAGCAGCCGGGTGGTTAAAGCGGGAGCAGGAATTACTGTGTGGGTGTAAATTCTAAACAGGAATGAGAACAGAAAGCAAACAGAACCCTTGCAATTTTATTATCATGACATCAGCCAGCAGAGCATGCCAGCCTGTGTGGGAAACAGGATAGGACCAAAATATAAAATTGTTAGCACTGCTCCCGGGCTTAAAAATTACCATAAAAACTTACACCAGTGCACAGATTTCCCTAGACCCCCCCTGGGGTGGGGGGTGTCTCCCCACCTGAATTTCCCCAACACCCCCCTCCCCGCCGTTACATGAAGTGTTGCCAATTTAGTGGTTGGTTAGAAATTTGAATTGAAATTGAAACATTCATACATACTTTAAAAGCATACCCAGTCTATGAGAAAAGACTTGTACCTGAGAAAGCAGAATGGGTTTGAAAAGTATGAAGAAAGACTGGCTTCCTCATACAGCTGTTGTTTATGACAATGTCGGCACATTCGTCTCGGCTCTATGGGCCTACCTAATCATTTCAAATGATGATTTGTAAGCAAGGTGTGAATGCGCTCTCCCCTGACAGCTAGTGATGAGCCAGGGGAGAGGGGAAGGCTTCAGGACCAGACTGTTGGGTTACAAATCACGGAAGTATTAAATGTGGGGGTCATGAACTGTTCTTCTCCTTATTGGGTGAGTAAAGGGCAGCAGAACTGTACTTAGCCTGCCTGAATGAGGGGGTCTCCCTCAGTGCTTAATTTGTGCTAGGGCTTGTCAGGGCCGAGCCCCAGAACCTCTAGGCTGGGCAGTTCAGAGCCCTGGGACCTCTGGGCTGGACACATCAGCTATGAAAGTAACCAACTTGCTTGAGCCCCGGCACCTCTTTCGTTACAAATTAAGCACTGGTCACCCTCAGCTGAACTGAGACAGCCCAGCCTGCACTAGCAGCGAGGTTCCCCCACTGAGAGCTGAAATCTCTGAGAGCCGGTGGAACCTCGAGAGACCGACTCGCAGAGGTCACAGTGACAGGTGGCAGCAGAAGGTGACAGTTCAGGGCCATTGGGGACGGAGCGGTGGAGTGAACGGTGGCACAACAAACAACAGCGGCCAGAGCAGTGGACTATGTTTTAGTGACTTTGCTCCAGAATGCTAGATTTGTGACTGGGAAACTTATATAAATACATTTCCTAGTAGGCCAAGATTTTTAAATGACCATAGCAAAAAAATTTCATTATTTGCCAAGGTCATTCTCTCACATGACCTCTTGAGATAGAGGCTATTATCTTTGGGAGTTTCTGTACTAAACTTTATTATTCTTATAATTTTTATGTAAGAATGGCTGTGATAGGTTGAATCACAGAAACCCCCTTGGCAACTGCCAACTGATGTGGCAAGACTACTTCTGCTCCTGCTTTCCTGCCCTGGTAGCTTAGGATGTCAGTGCCCTGCCTGGTTTGAGCCAGACCCTCTAGCCTGATCCATGTCTGAACCACATCCCTTAACAGCTGCAGGCTTAACTGAAAGCAGCTTACAGAAGTGTTCCTGTCTTTAACACTCACATGCCCAACTCCCAATGGGGTCTAAACCCCCAAATAAATCCGTTTTACCCTGTATAAAGCTTATACAGGGTAAACTCATAAATTGTTCGCCCTCTATAACACTGATAGAGATATGCACAGCTGTTTGCTCCCCACATCCCCAGGTATTAATACAGACTCTGGGTTAATTAATAAGTAAAAAGTGATTTTATTAAATACAGAAAGTAGGATTTAAGTGGTTCCAAGTAGTAACAGACAGAACAAAGTGAAATAAGATAAAACATGCAAATCTAAGCCTAATACAGTAATACAACTGAGTACAGATAAAATCTCACCCTGAGAGATGTTTCAATAAGTCTCTTTCACAGACTAGACGCCTTCCTAGTCTGGGCACAATCCGTTCTCCTGGTACAGCCCTTGTTCCAGCTCAGGTGGTAGCTAGGGGATTCTTCATGATGGCTCCTCCTCTTTGTTCTGTTCCACCCATTTACATATCTTTTGCATAAGGCGGGAATCCTTTGTCCCTCTCTGGTTTCCCACCCCCTCCTTCTCAGTGGAAAAGCACCAAGTTAAAGATGGATTCCAGTTCAGACTTCATTACCCACTTGCCAGCACACACATATCCAGGGAGACTTACAAGTAAACAGAGCCATCTGCAGACAATTGCCCTGGTTAATGGGAGTCATCAAGATTCCAAACCACCATTAATGGCCCACACTTTGCATAATTACAATAGGCCCTCAGAGTTATATTTCATATTTCTAGTTTCAGATACAAGAGTGATACATTTATACAAATAGGATGATCACACTCAGTAGATGATAAGCTTTGCACTGATACCTTACAAGAGACCTTTTGCATGAAGCATATTCCAGTTACATTATATTAAAACTCATTAGCATATTTTCATAAAATCATATAGAGTGCAACGTCACAATGGCATTATTGGGTCAGACCAATGGTCCATCTCTCCCAGTATCCTGTCTTCCGACAGTGACTATTCCAGGTACTTCAGCGGGAATGAACAGAACAGGGAATGATTGAGTGATCTATCCCCTGTCATCCACTCCCTGCTTCTGGCGAACAGAGGCTAGGGACACTCAGAGCAGGGTGTTGCATCCCTGCCCATCCTGGCTAATAGCCATTGATGGACCTAATCTCCATGAATTTACCTAGTTCTGTTTTGACCCCTGTTCTAATTTTGGCCTTCACAACATCCCTGGCAAAAACTTCCACGAGGGACTATGTGTTGTGTGAAGAAATACTTCCTTTGTTTGTTTTAAACTTGCTGCCTATTAATTCCATTGGGTGACCCTTGGTTCTTGTGTTAAGTGAAGGAGATAAATAACACTTCCTTATTCATTTTCTCCCCCCCAATCAAGATGTTGTAAGCCTGTGTCATATCCCCTCTTAGTCACCTCTTTTCCAAGCTGAAAAGTCCCAATCTTTTTAATCTCTCCTCCTATGGAATCTGTTGCATACCCCTAATCATTTTTGTTGCCCTTCTCTGTACCTTTTCCAATTTCAATATATTTTTTTTGAGATGGGGTGACCAGAACTGCACGCGGTGTTCAAGATGTGGGCATGTGGAAGACATAGTGGAGTACAAGCTTTGCTCTGAGAAAAGTGTAACCCTAATCTCTCCTATACACACTGCAGAAGCCATCTACTCCAGCAAGAGCTAGTACAAGCTGCAGAATCTTCAAAAGACATTAAAAAGCCACAAATGTAATGGCTTTTTATCCCCTTTTTTTATTCAGCAAGAATGCAAAAGGACTGAACGTCTTGGAAACAAATAGAAGATTTGCTGGTATTGAAGTTCAGATTAGTCCGACCTGGGAAAACCTGCTGGCTTTCTCATGAGTGATCCTTGGCTGTTGTCTTAAAATTACTGCAACCGTTATTACCGGCTTTGGAAAGTATCCACCAAGATAGGACAGATCTAAGTAGTGAGGCTGGTGAACTACTTTTGTTACTAAGTTCAGAGAAGACTATCGCCGTTCTCTCTCTTGTAAGTCTACTGTTGAAACCACTTGGGTCATTGTGACAGGTTGGATCACAGAGATCCCCTTGGGACTGTCACCTGATGTGGTGAGACTACCTCCG